ACGTGTGCCCCTCTCTAATTATATAGACTAAGATTTCAACTATTGTCTTTAACATTAACTGAAATATTAACTATTAATATTAACACTCCCGATATTTTGACGATAGGAATATGAGCAACAATCAGATTAAATGCAAATTGAAGTCCAGTCAATATAGTCACCTTAGATAAGTAGGAAAAATTTAAAATTTCAATATGAGCTTTCACTTTCTAATCCGCATTTAAGAAACAAAATGTATTGTTTAAGTTGAAAATTGAATATTTCGCCGTCACCGATCGCCTAAACCATTGGCATAATTTAACAGATCTTAAATCGGGATGGCACAATGTATTGGAACTGCTCGGTCCTTATTCTTTTGTTTTTCTAATAGCTACGAGATTTTCCATAAAAATGTCCAAATATCCATAAAAACTCTGGGAATTCTTCAGAATTCAGATACAATTACTTTGAAAAACATGAGCTTAAGTTTATCCTTTTTCTTGGTGCTACAAATAAAGCAGTGATTTTTTAATGAAGCCAGAACCAATCAGGCGTGTCAATCAGCGTAATTCATTTACTAAAATTACCTTGGTTCGATAGTTGCCTGCTATAATCTTTATGTTAAATAAGTTTTCTTATCATTTTCTTAATAAATAATTTTAGTTATTTTAGTTTCAGATAAATTATTTGTAGTAAATTGGTAGGAGGTAAATGGGTTTAAGAGCACCAATGACATAAGTGCATCAGTTTTCCTTATTAAGTCAAAGATATTACACACAAACGTGTTTATATTAATTATCCAAGTCAATCATTTATTTCATATATAATATTGTTAATATTGACACAAACCCAGCGAATTCTTAAATCCTTACTCCTGTAGGTGCTTGAGTACCACAAAATCTGGACATTTTAAACGGGTAACTCCGAAGTATCTAAAGATTTCTAGTAAACCGTTGTCACGCAAACTAGTTCCGAAAGTTTTAAGCTTTTTTACAATTAAAAACTGTGGCTGTGTCCATGCTATCTCTCAACATTGGTTGGTTTCCGCACTTATTAAAGCACGGGAGTTATTATGGGAACAAAAATGTCAATACAACCTTGTATAGTTTGAACTGTCGTATTTTGTCAGTCGAGTTCCCACTTTTGTTTATTCACTTAGAATCAGTCTTCTCCACTAGGTGGCCAGAGTTCAAATATAGAAATGTGACTTTTGTTTTCCGCATTGATGTGGACTATGCGTCTAAACCCTTTTGTATATTTTTCTAATAAGCATGATTTCAGCGAGACACAATACTTTCACTTTATTTAACTATTCATTAATAAATAATTAAAACAACAGTTTCAAAGAGTTTTGACATCTAATTTCAATACTAACTGAAACGATATGGGTTCAAAAAATTTGTAAACATCGATAAATAGAACATAGAATTGTCAACATCTCATAAAGGACTAAAAGCTAAGAAAATAGGGAGATGAAAGAAAATTACAAATGCATGATATAGATTTCTGTGCATATCAATTCAGTAGTAGAGTCAGATATTTACCTTACTTCTCGAGATATTAAGGTTTATTTGTTGGGTTTTAACATTAAATTATTATTAACAAGTAACTTATTAATTACCCATTAAATAATTACCCATTATTTAAAATATTTAATAATTTATTCACTTACCAACACCTCATAATATATCATCTTAATGAAATCTTGGATCACAATTGTGACTCAATCCAATTATTTAAATTTTAACTTGCCTTTTCCTACCAATATATTACACAGCTGATATACTCATAACTTTCAATAGAACTAGACATATTTAACGAGTTTTAAGTTATGGGTTATCATAATGAATACTTCATGCAAATGGTGCTTAATTTTTTATTTAACAATGGATTTATTATTGATCATATAAATATACGCACTCCCAAGTAAATAGAGTTTTTATGCTTTTACTCCACGAACTCGTCCCTAACGTATAGGGGCAAATATCTTTCAGAGAAGTTACAGTATTACACATGTTTTATCTACAATTCCTTGTTTAGTTATAAATCTCGTTTCATGAGTATGGAGAAGAAGCGGCATTGGCAATACTACATTAACTTAATTTCTTACTTTTTTTATTTTATTTTATTTTATTTTATTTTATTTTATTTTATTTTATTTTATTTTATTTTATTTTATTTTATTTTATTTTGTTATACTACTTATTATTTTACAATATTATTAATCCATCATTTACTTTTACATCGAACGAAATCTAATAACCCAATAGGATTATATTCAAATATTAATAAAATCCGTCTTCGTCCCTATTTACCCTTTCGAGATATGATAGGATTTATTATTTTAATCATATTTCTTTATTTATGAAATTCAATTAATGTCTATTTATCAGATAATCCAGATCATTTTATTTCTGCTAACCTACTACTAATCTACTAACTCCCATTCATTTTCAACTAGAATGATATTTTTATTTGCATATGGACTTTTACGTTAAATTGCTAACAAATTTGGAAGAGTATTAACAAACTTTAGTGTTATTAATTGCTATCTTAATAATTATATCTATCTTAATTGCTATCTTAATAATGATATCTTTTTGCATCATAAGAAAACTTCAAGATTCATCCAATTAAGCAAACTTTATTTTGAATCATTGTGTCAACTGCAACCTAAATATCTTCAGTTGGATTATAATCTGATGTAAATCCCTATGTAGTAAAATATAAATATTTTATTTATAATTCAATTTAATTAATTTAAATTTTAAACGAAAACAATAAATTAAATATTATACCAATTTATAACGATTTGAACATCAGACATTTTCTTCCAAAACAATAGAGTTTTATCAACATTAAAAACCTGATCAGGACTGTACGACTTACCTAAAATAATTTCATCAAATTTCTATATATATATATGGATGTTTCTGTGCTTCTTCTACATTAGCTAATACTTGATTTACTTAATTTTAGAATTTTTTTATTTAAATCTTTCGAACCAACCATGACTTGTAGAAATGGACACATTATTCATTAAAGTAGGCCGCAATTGATTCTGAATTTTTTCATGAATTTTCAAACCTTTATTTTTTATGGCATTAGTATCAAATGGAATCCATTTCTGATTTTGGTCTTCTATCCATACATTAAAGTCTTTCTCATGTTTTCCATTCCAACATTTCTTACATGTAAAGTTGTACTCATATTTGTAGTTTTGAGTTCTCATATAGTTCCTATTCTAATTCCATTCAAAGAAAAAATTTTAGCAGCATCCACTATTCATTCTTTATTATATAGACGGTCAGAAATTTTAATTCTTGTTTCTAAAGATATATATAATTATTCACTCAGAATGCATATTGATTTTTAGCACTGTTTTTAGCTCGGTAATGATGTGATTTTTAATTAACAAAAATTGTTTTTAGTTAAAATATTTAATTTGCAATTAAATTTATTTTACTTTACTATACTATCTTTTAAATTTAATTTTTTAAAATTAATAAACCACAAATTAGGCTGAACAAAATTATTGGCATATTTAAGTTCTAATGAACTGTTTTGACACCTGACAATTTTTTCCAGGAAAACTATACTAAAATGCTAAAGTATTAAAAAACTTAATCCATTTGGAACAAAATGAGCAGTATACATAAAGAAACCGCCGAGTCTCAGCGGTTGAAAATGATGGATAGAAGCCGCTACATCAATCGTAGCATTGTGAAGCCTTCCAAAAGGGCGACATCATTGCAAAATGAAAAGCACACAGACTGACCTAAAGGTTTTACCGACCATAAATGCAGCAAAATAATAAGAAAGATGAAAGTCAACTCAAATATATCTTAAACCCATATCGCAGCTGAAGTTAAGCGAGAGTTTGACAAGGATATTTATCGCATAACGGTTGAAAGTATCTAGAAGAAATCAATTATAGTTGATGTGTTGCTAGAAGACAACCGTTTATTTTCCAGGTCAACCATCAGAAGCATTTACCTTAAGCAAATGAGTATTTAAACAAGCTAATCAACTTTTGGAGCAATTTTCTCTTCTTGGATTAATGAAAATTTAAAGTATTTCGATCTAATGGTCGCCTAATGGTTGGAGTAAAGCAAACAGCAAACTGCACAAAAAATAACCCTGCTATATCTGTGAAACATGGTGCTTATATGGAGCTGCATGTCCGCTGCAAGTGTCGACGAATTATAATTCTTTGACGGCATTATATAGCCATCCTCAGAAGAAATGTCAAAGAAAGTGTCGAAATCTTGAGTTCACCTGCCATGTTTAGCTTACAATATGACCATGATCTAAAACTTACGGCTTATCATGTGCGTATGTGACTTGCGCATCATGCAAAACACACATTGTCGCATTTGCCCCAATCTTCCCATCTCAACCCCATTAAATATTTGTGGAAAGAATTGAACAGACATCTAAAGAAACGTGCTGTAACAACAAAGACAGAAGTGAATGTTTCACTGATGGGAAGCGATGGGAAGCTGTAATTAAACAAACGAACCTTGCCAGTAAATATTAACGGTTACTGTAAATAATTATTTTTAATTTTTTCCAAAATTTTAAAAATTAAAATGAAAAGATAATATAATTAAAATAAAATTAATTTAATTGCAAATTAAACATTTTATAAAAAAAAATATTTTGTAGACTAAAAATCGCATCATTGCTGGGGTTAATGTTTTTTTTCAACCATCGTAATACAACTTTACCTTCAATTCTAATATTTACTGGCAATAACACGGAATTTTGCACAGGTTCAGATCTATTGATTTATTTTTAAAGCGTGTTTACTGCAAAATAAAATTTAATGATATTATTATTAAATAATAGGCTATAAATGCACCCCGACTTAAAAGATCTATTATGCACATTAAACGATATAAAAAAAACTTTTTTAACGGTATAAAAAATTTTCCAAATTTTTCTCAACCTCCTATTGAAGACCACATGGGTAAAATTACATTTACCAAAAAGTATAAAAGTAAATTAAACCAAAATACTTTCCCATTATTTTATATATATTAAAAACAACTAATAGTTTTATTAAAGCTTTAAAAAAAATATGTAAGAACTCCTTGTCAAACATTAATACACACACATAATTTCAGTTTAAGGAGTAAAATATCTAAAATCAATTCCTCTAGATGTTAATTTCTCATTAATCCATTGCCTTAGGTAAGGAATATTACCATAAACTCCTGGTATTTTGTCTTCACCGCAACCGATGCCCCATGCAACAATTCCAGCATGATAATAACGATTCTTAACACCTGGTACAGGGCACACTAAAGGAGAACCACCATCACCCTTGCAAGTATCTTTACCTTTTACACCACCGGCACAAATGAAACTCTGATCAAGTTTAAAATGCATGCCAAGACGTGTTGTTTTTAAAACATCTTCACACTGCTTATGTGGCACCACAGGTAAATCTATTTTCTTTAGAATTACTTGATATTGTCCTTCTCGCCCAAATTTATCTTTTCCCCAGCCAGTTGCATAACAAAGTGAATGATCGAAATTTATGTTTGAATCGGGCAAACAAATAGGTCTAACATTTTCCGCCCATTCAAAAGGACTTTCTGTTATCAGTATTGCAATATCGTTATGTAATGGCCCCTTCTTATAATTCTCATGGACTATAATCTCTTTTACACGCTGATTCTGATGAGGAATAATTTCTGTTTGTTGTTGTGTGTCCCATTCACCTGCACGGACTATCAATGTTTCCGCTTTTCTGTTTAGAACGCAGTGAGCAGCAGTTACAACCACCGTTGGTGCTACCAATGCACCACCACATTCATATAAATTAAGAATTTCAGCAGCAGCTTCTTCTTCACGTAAAATCGCTACCATCCAAGGAAATTCACCAAACTGTGCTTCATTATCATTGTCACCAATTATTCTGTAGCCAACTCCATCAGGATTGCGGAATCCACACCCTTCATGTTGAATTGGTGGAACCGGTTTGATTATTGGCTCTGTAGTCTGTAAAAAATCAAATAAATTAGTAACACCTCAAGGTGAGATACTTCTATGCATTTTACTTTGTTAGATATTTCGCAACAAACTTCCAAATAAGAGCACTCTTCACCTAAAAGCCGAATATCAATAATATTGGTACCATCTTCAATTATTTTATTGTCGTTGCAAAGGAAACGTGGTACACATTCTCTGTCAACTCCACACGATTTGTATAAGGTTGGCGAAGGCGTCGGCTTCTCAACAGGTGGTATTGGATTTATTACAGGTACTGTTGGAGTTACATTAGGTGGTACGGGTGATATTACAGGTGGCGGCGTATTATTATCGGAAGATGTGTTAAATATGCCCCTAATAATGTCATCAAGAATAGCAGGACTAGGCGTTTGTTGGGCACAACATGCCGCAACATACAGTATAAGAATGAAATATTCTGTTTTAAATCCTTGACCCATAGTTCTTAAGAATCTGTATAATAAAGAAAAAATAAAAACAAAATATCAAAAAGTTTTTATTACCTTTAAGGAATATACAATGAAGTAATTTACAAAAGTTTAATACTGTTATAGTTAATGGTACTATAAACCTCAATTGTGGTTACTTTTCTGCAAAACAACCGAAATGGACTGTAACTTTTAAGAACACTATATGTTTAATTTGAAATCAAAATTTTTATTGTATCTAAAACAAAAATATAGAAAGAAAAACAAATTTTTTGAAATCGTTTTGAATTTTTAATATGTCCTTAGCCCTTAGCCGAAACGATGACTGCGAGTTGCCAGACAAACGAATCGTTGACTGCACGTATCTTAACCCGTGGCTATTTCATCTATTAATCAAGATGGATTTTCAAGAACAAAATTCTAGTAACTTTTAGTGCTGACCTTTGCTTGTACAATACGTCGTAACAAGAATTAATATTAAATGCAACTATCCAGTCTATATAAAGTATTAAACGTTATTTTACAGCCATCATCAGATGACGCGTGTGTTATGTGATGGTTAAATCTTGTTAAATTATTCACCCATCCCTAAAAATGTATTATCTGTAAAGTAAACTTCTCGATTCAAAGGAGAATTTTTTTTAGCAGTTAATCAACAATTAAAAAACCAACATTTCATATTCGCACTTGCAAAAACCTCTCCCAAATTACGAGACCTAACTTTATGCTATATTTATTAGGCAGCAAGAATATTGTTTCAAATCAGGGTTACTAGCTGCAGGGTGAATTTGAGGAAGGTATGAGTAAGTTAAATTTAAATAAATTAAAATATCTGTACTGTCAACGTTTCTAAAAGAAAATTGGTTAAGTAGGTTATTAAGTTCAATCAAAGAATCACGAACTAGATCCAATATGTTATCATAAAAAACTGGAAGCGTTTAAAACCATTTCGGTCTACAAAAAAAGTCTAAACTGAACTAAGTTGGGCGAAACAACAATAAACTTTCATCAACCTGTACAGTTTTTAGTCGTAACTTATTCCTTAACATATGTAGATAGTTTTTATAATATAAAATAAAAATAAACTTACACTGTTTTTAAACTCAAACATTTAATTGTTTTTCACATAAAGATTTCAACAACAGCTTACCGAATACTAACACTATACCTAAACAAGTAAGATGTTCCGAATGTGTCCCTATGGAACTCTGTTTGGGAAACTCATAGGTGCCACATCCATGTAAGATTTAATCCAACGCAAAAAAATGTTGAACTGTATTGATGCATGGTAGCACAAAGCTGTCTTAGATCTAAGTTAGACTGATCATATGGACCGCAAAGCAAATTCAACTACATGTAGTAGTAGTTTCTGTATATTCCTACTTAACATATTATTGCCTTCCAGCTACAAATTCTAATAATCCTTCCTAATATAAACATCTTTCATCTAATAAATGTTACTGTGAACGGAAAAGTAATACCTATTATAAAACATAATGCGACCGTAAAAGCAACATATGATTATAATTTTTATAGAGTTGACATTTCAATACAGTGAAAGCTTTGTTAAACGGAAGCTCTTATATATGTACATAGCTCTCTAGACCCTAGCTTACAGTTTTCGAACAGAGTACATTCTTTTAAACAAACTGTGATTTTAAATGAACAATATTGCTTGTTCCGTCGATGTTTGCTTAAGAAAGTTGCAACTATATTCTTGAATTCTACGCGATTCATGGTTCACAAAAAATTTTTATTCCAACAAATACCAAGAAATATAATTCATTCCGTAGCCATATCTGTATAATAAATATGACTTGCCCAAAATACTTTCGATTGTTAAAGTTGATGGAAGAACTTCAAATTTTTTCGTTTTTTTTGTTTTGCAAATCTTATATACATAATAGCTTTAGTACAAACAGATCTCACAACAGATCTAGCGAATACTGCTATTAAAAATATATTACTCTTACATAATTGTTTTTATTTTTTTTTTTTTAATTCCTTGATAATCACAAATACACAGATGTGTGTTTAACCCGCGTAGGACTAGCACACCTTACAACGTTAAGAGGCAACAGAGATACAATTGTGCCTTCATATATAAAGTATGAAAAATCTTCCCCTTTCAATTTTGTTATGATAAATACATAAAAGTGACTACAAAAGGTGGCCTCGATATGATGAACAAAATGTTGAGTAAATACACAGCAAAATGATGAACGTTGCATTGGTCTTTGGCAATGTTCTACAACATGATTGATACCACTGGATTGGGATCTTATATTAACTATAGTTTGCAGAGTGTAGATTTTGTCAAACAGCTATGCATGGCTTCACTTGAAAATCGTAGCGCAAACAAAAAAATAATGGGTTAATATTTTCTTCGAAGCGCAGTAGAAATGGACGTATTTTGCTGACACCAGAACCAGGAACTAGTGCTAAAGTATCTCATGACAGAAGTGGATCCAAAGCAATTGTTGGTAGCTGTCATGTTTCCCAATATCTGAGTTGGAAGCAAAAAAAGACTAGAAAGTCATAAGAGGTTTGCGTGAAACCAGTTTGCGATAAACAGTCTATTTCTAATACAATATGTGTTTCTTGCGAAGAAAGACGATATCAGCGAATTTTCATTTTTCTAATAATAACTTACAAAATATATATTGATATTCAGATGTCTGAGTTGGTGAATCAACACCTTTACTCTATTTTATCTGTGGACAGTTTTAAGTCACACTAAGAATAACTGAATACGGGGCTTTATAATATGATGGATCTGCTGTCTTTGTATCTGCCTGTGTTTATCAAATTTCGCTGTATTTTTAGGATGCTGAGAGTTGGATTATTGTGACTGTCAATTATATTGAACAGTTTCAGAGCACGATCTTTAATGTATTTTTCGACTGAATCGACTCTCAGATCTCTGTGGATATCCGCTCCTCTTACGTACCATGGGGCGTTAACCAGTTTTCTTAAGGCAATATTATGCAAATAATATGCTAACTCTATTCTTTATGTTGAGCTTTTTGCTGCTGATGAGCGGGTGAAGGGAGTGTAATATTAGGGCAGCTTGAGCTCGTTTGGACTTGAAATGTGCTTTCCAGGAGTGCTTGTTATCAAAGGTTATGCCTAGGTATTTGAGAGTCCCATTCTCGGCCCATTCTATTTCTTGTTCTTCTACCTTTAATTTTCTGGGTGCTTGGCGGCGCTTCCTGGTAATAAAAATTGCCCGAGTCTTTTCTGCGTTCAATTTTATTTTCCACTTTTTAAAATACTAAACAAACTTACAAAATACATGAAGGTACAATTGTACCTAAGTTGTCTTTACGAAGAGTGAAATCAAATCAGATTCATATCTTAGAAAGTTTTGGAAGATATTTTTCCAAAATTAAAATATATAACAAAAATTATAATAACTTAAGTATATCATCTAAAGGAAAAGTCTAAAGAACTTCTAAAATTTCAGGCAAAAAAAGTTATTGCAATTTGAAAATGTAAAAGTTACAAATGTACCTCTCCCGTCTGACTAGGGTTAATTACCGCTCCTATTGAAGAAATTGTACTCTTACAAGATTGATTGCATACAATTCATCTAAATGGAATAAATTTGTTGCTCGTACTTGCTAAGGAGTCATAATCCCTATTCCGTAGTACTGTTGTGGTTCTCTTAATAAAACTTCTATGCATATCGTATTTAAACAATTATGCATATAAAAAATGAATTTTTCGATGACGTCACGTAAAAGTTAAATGTTATTAACAAACGAACTGACATCTTGCTTAACTAAAAACGAAAGAAGTTGGTATCTATTCTTTCTTTGGAATTAGTTACACAATTGAACATTGTATAAAAAAAATTACAATAAATACTTTTATAGAAAACCAAATTTAATTACTTTGATATTATATAATTCTGAAAGATCGATATTTTGCGGACCGCTTGAAGATTCACCATTTCGTATTTTTCTTATTTATTTCTCAATTTTTAATTTTTCATTTAAATTTTTTTTCCGCATGTACTTACTTCAATAATTAAAGTAATTATTTTATTATTGAAATATGTAAAAAAAATCACCGATTTAATGTCATGACATTTTGTGCTTTTTTTGTGAGAAATATTAGAGTTGCTTTATTAGATTTATTTCGAAATTTATTTATTGTTTACAGAGATTTTATTTGCTCATCCAATCGTCCAATTAACATTTTTGCCCATAAATAAATTCTGTATGATTAATGCATAAACATGCATGATTATTTATTTATTGATCAGTTTTAAGTTTAATCTATATTTACGGCCAGCGGTCAAGTAATCAATTGATAACGATTAAAAGTGCACTTCAGAAGAATATATAGAATCCAGAGAACCACAAAAATTAATGATGTACACACAAACGTACATATATGTAACGTCTTGGTTGGATTATACATAAATGAGATGAATTTAAATTTGCTGACTTACATAACATAGATCGATGAAAAAAATTGATTTGAATAATGGAACTCACTCACTAGACGGAGCTAAAACACTTTTATGCCCTAACAAGAATTCAAATTCGGCAAATGTGAATAATACATACGTAGTAGGAAAAAATGATTTGGAAACCGGAAAGTACTTGATAGACTATAAGTTTGCCGACCTTGCGAGAACTAAAATAAATTTACAATGTGAGGATGAGTGCATCAAGTCAACGCAAAACTAGTTTAGAATCAACTTGCAAAAAAACATAAAATATATGAAAAATTCAATATAGTTTGCCTTTGGCAAACAAGTCTGGAACTAGCGAACTGATGATATAAAAATTAAAAAACCTAAAATTATTAATTACAATAATATTTACCATATAATTATTTTAAACACTGTGCACCACGGTACCACAACTCAACGAACGCTTAGAGCTTGACTCGAATTTAATTTTGTCCGAATGGCAAGACGATCTCGTAAGAACTGACTACTTGTTTGGCAACTAACATAGCAATTGTTCAGTTCCCATCAGCGTAGCTCACCGCGCATTTGCGGCGCAAAGACCAATAACTGAGCACCGGCTCTGCTGCTTAAACGTGAGAGCAAGGTTGAATAGCGATTCAACAACTGAATTAATTCGATGAAGATTTTCAGCAATAATTACACCAGCCTACAATCTCGAATAATAACAAAAAAAATTTTTATAAGTTGGTGTTAGAATTTAAAAAAAAAATGTGTTTTTATATAAAACAAATAAGAGTTTTATGTAAAAACTCTTTTTAGATATATGAGCCATTTTCTTCGAAAGTGGTGTAATTGTGAGATTTTGTAAGGTTTTGCTTTTGAATTTTTTAAAAAATTTGGACATATGTTATTACGCTAGTTTTCTTCTTTTAAATATTAAATAGATTTAAATTTATAATTTAAATGTAACGACTAACACCAACTTCAAAGTTAGCAAAAAGTAAAAATCTTGCAATTACAAAATATTAATTATGGAATCACAATTGAAACAAACCAATTTATTTTTATGAAATACTTACTAAATACTTTAACAATTAAAAAAATAACAAAATATAAAGGCTGTATTTCAACATTTACCATTCAATCAAAATTATTTATAAGGTTAATTTTTTCTTGCCGATAATGGCGTGTCTTTTTATGACGAAAGAAACTATTTAAAAGTTAGACGGATTCGAATAGCAAAGAAAGGACAAAGACAAAAATTTTTTTTTTTTTAATTTATTGAAATTTGGCTGACCATACAACGCTGTTTCGAGTATTGCCAAGTACTCTTCATCAGTAGTCTTTGGAAATAATCGAATTTTATTTAATTAGTTTATAGTCCATATATAATTTGTTTGGATTGCAAGTGCCAGGCTTAGAACTTATTAGGCTTAGAAATTATTTATAATCTTAATTTTTTCTTGCCAAGAGTGACGCGTCTTTAAGACGAAAAGAAACTATTTCAAAATTGGACGGATTTGTATAGCAAAGAAAAGACAAGGACAAAAATTTATTTAATTTATTGAAATTTTTGACTGACACCACAATACTTATCATCAGTGGTCTTAGGAAATATTCAAATTTCTTAATTAGTTTATGTTTAATTTATACTCTCACTATTAATATTTTTTAACTTTTTCCATTATGACACAGTTTTTAAAAATTATCAATCATATCTCTAAATTTATGAAATGTGATGAGTCTGGAATTATAATCTGAACATTTTAGTATTATATTTCCAAAATTCAGTGGTATTTTCCGTGAGAACAATAAATTAAGTGGTTTAAGATTCTGATTCTCACTAAATAATAAATTGTGTACAACATTTTATATGGTTTGCTTTTTAAAACCGTTATCCAACATATCTTCAACCAATTCACTTATTCACCATTAAGATTTCATCACCTTCACTAAAGAAATTAGAAGAAATAAAAACAATGAAAATTAAAACAGTTTTTCTTTTTAAAATATTATAAAAAAAGAATTGATAGTAATTGTATTCATATCTATGATTTACAAATTTTTTGTCAAAATGGACTTACATCCTCTTAAGTAAAATGGCTCATATAGCACTGACAAAGAAAACATACATGCGCTCAGAAAAATAATTTAGTTAATTTAACCAGATTTTAACTAAGTCTGAAATCAAAATATTCTTACTCGACACATCATTTAATTACCTTCGTCATTCATCATTATTATTAAATATTAAATATTAAGCCTATATGCTCTAATCTCTCTCTGCTGATTACTGGAATGAAGTTTTCACATTGCTGTGAAAATCTTCTCCATTAATTCCTAAGAGGTGGTTTTAGTGAGTTCAAGTGTTTTTAGGGTAATTATAAAAATAGGATTTAGAAAATATATAGTCCACTTTAAAAAATATATAGTATTCTCCAGCAGAAAATTTTTCAATTAAATTTTAGCTATGATAGATTTGTACATATCATTGCAATTATAATGAAAATGTAATAATTTGGTCCAAACCAGTAATCATAGTAGACTTCTTGGATGTGATTATTCAATAGATTTTTTTTTACATTTTTAAAAGAATGATAAAATATATCAAGTATTTCTTCTAGAGGATTTGTACATATCATTGCAATTATAATGAAAAGGTAATAATTTGGTCCAAACCAGTAATCAAAGTAGACTTCTTCGATGTGATTATTCAATAGATTTTTTTTTTTTAATTTTTAAAAGAATGATAAAATATATCAAGTATTTCTTCTAGTGGAACAGTTAAAGCGGAAAACCCGCTAATCGTGTAACCATCAATTAAAGTAAAATTTTGAGGGAATACTAACATATCTGAAGGTTTCAAAGTGATAAACATGTTGAGCAATATTTGAAAAACGTGTGTAGTTATGTAAATATAAGGACTATAAGTTCATAAAGGGCTTTAGTCTTACCTCTGAGGTATAGAAGCAAACTGGTACTTACTTTAACTACATTAACTACATTTTCCATACAGTGTCATACCACAAAATCATATTAGTGTCAAATTTCTATTGAAGCATACCATATATAAGTGAAGCATAACATTATATCAAGTTACACAAAAAACGTGTAGTACAGTGTACTTCTTTGAATTAGTAAATAAAAACAATTTAATGAATAGTTTAATAAGTTTTTAGGATTTTTGATAAGTACGTTGTACTTAACCTAGCATTGGAATTTTGAAATTTGTAAGTAGTTCTTTAAATAAATCCGTATTAATACAATGGTGGCATATAATCATTCTTATATTGGAAAAACCTAACACTACATTATTACATAAAAAAACATTGAAAGAAAGCCAACATTTATGAGTTTTCTTTGAAATAACTAAAGAAATTTTATTTATATACATATAAGTAAAAACTTATTTGTAAGCTCGTTGATTAGGAATAAGTTCCAGAATTAAGCTCAAATGAAAGTGCGATAATTATCTTGAGCTGTGATTTTAATTGTTTAAACATCGCAAAAAGTGATTAAAATATTATTCAATACGATGCGAGTGTGAATTTGTTGAAGTATCGTTGTTTTCTTACTCAGAGTCGTTCCATTAATAAAGTTCTTTTCAGCTATTCAAAAATAAAAAACAATAACAACAAATCACTAAAAAAAAAATTCCCCGAGTGGTCTTCTTTTTTTTTCCTTTAATAACAAAAAAATTACCCACCTTGGGAATTGATATACTCGTATTTTTATCTGAAAAATCTATATTTTGGAGAACATGCCTTTTTAAAATCAGTCGTAATATGAAATCGAAACGACTTTGATATATGAATTTAATACAATGATTAGTATAAGTAACCGAATAAAATAGGGCAGCGCTGTGAGTGGATAGTAGTCACAGTTTATATCTGATTAAATATCTTTTGGACAGAATATGAAACAATAGCTTAATTTAAACAAGGGTGACTTCTTCTATGCTTACTTTCTCAATCGTCTTAAAATGAAAAGTGGTGCAGATTAAAAAAAATTTTGTCTATACTACCTTAGGATGAGATAATTAAAAGCTGTTTTAACTTTAAATATTATATTAAGTTTAAGTTTAAGAAGATGTAAAACGACTTTTAAATTACTATAATATATTTAGTAGGAATTTGGAGATCAACAACAGGGAACACAATTTTCAAGCAGGAAACTAAATCTTAAAACGTCTTAAAAAGAAGCTTCCTTAGTTAATACTACATACGTATATAACCGTGAAGTGATATTAAATGGAATTAAATTATTTGTCATTCCGTGATGGCAATAATATCTAAGATTGGTATTCCAATTCCCCCTATAAAAGTCTTGTTAAAAAACAAGAAACCTATTCAATAACTATTCCATATCCCTCACTTGAACGTCTTGCTAGACAAAAAAAAGCATTTAAAGTATAAAATAACTAGCAAATATTAAGTGAACTTCGGCCTAGAACAACAACACTTCCTCAAAATTGATCTAGAAGTAGTGTAAGTCTTCTGACATGTGTACTTGCAGATCGTTGTTTAGTATATATACATATAGCTAGATTAGAAACTGTCTGCATGTGAATATGAAAGATGTGATAAAGTGCTTGTTATGTCACTGCCCGTTACTCTTTAGATAAAGTGTCTCAAAATCTTTGGGAGATTTCCTTTTTAAAGATTTAGCAGACATTGTTGCGATTAACCCTTTAAAACGGTTTAAAGTTGTTATTGAAAAGCAGATAGCTTTTTACTAGAAGACGTTGAGAAAGTGATATAAATGATCTGATTGGTAACAATCAATCGGCTCATTTTTATGATGGTTCTACCATAATAACAAAAAATAACATTTATTTGTTTTTTAACTAAAATAACAACGACCATTTTCATCTCGATATGATTGAATAAAAAAAAATTATAAAAATGCTTGTAGAGAATACAAGTAATAAGCTTTAAATATTATCCAAAGAAAAAACTTACTTCAATAGTGTAATTTATATGACAGTTCACCGATTTCATCTGACTGATCCACATATAATCAATTATTGTTAATATCTGCGTTTTACTAAATCAGAAATGTATTATGTTATTTTTCAGAGAATGTATAAGGCAATGTGATGAAATTACTACCACTTTTAGATGAACTCCCTATCAATGATCGCAGATTAAAATACCCTAAACATGTCATGAGATTCTTAGTATAAATAATATTATTTAGATATATTTCAAGAACTATTTGTAGAGTTTTGCCCGAATTTGATTTGTACTGAAAATAGTATGGAGACATCGTCGGTGTTTATGGAATTGATTCGCGTCCACGTGAATGCTACTAACTTGGCAAATACAATTTTTCATATTAACCAAATAAAGTAAATACATTATTATATTCTATTTTCAAAAATAATTAGTGTTTTATTTATTTATTTGTCACACGTGAAACAAAATAGTTTATATGAACTCAATTAAAAGAGAAACACCCGACTACAAAATAAACTGCGATAGATCAATCTGAGATAGCATTTTAATTATTAGTTCTTTTTTATACTAATACTGATGTTTAAAACGATTCAGCTCCGAATTTGTAAATATTGTAAAAAATCAAA